CAGCGAACAGGCTGGGGGTGCACAAGAAGTTGGGAGGGGACACAGCCAGGACAGCTGACCCAAACTGACCACAGGGATATTCCACACCATGTGACGTCATGCTCAGCAGATAAAGCTGGGGAAGAAGAAGGAAAGAGGGGATGTTTGGAGTGATGGCGTTTGTCTTCCCAAGTCACCGTTACGTGTGATGGAGCCCTGCTTTCCTGGAGATGGCTGAACACCTGCCTGCCCATGGGAAGGAGTGAATGAATTCCTTGTTTTGCTTTGCTTGCGCATGTGGCTTTTGCTTTCCCTGTTAAACTGTCTTTATCTCAACCCACGAGTTTTCTCACTTTCACTCTTCTGATTCTCTCTCCCATCCCACCGGGGGGGAGTGAGCGAGCGGCTGCGTGGGGCTTAGTTGGCGTCTGGGGTTAAACCACAACATCACTAGAACTTTGCACTCCTAATTTCTGGTCCATCCTGTCAAAGAAAAAAATCTCACTGAACAGATCAACAGTAGTAATAATACCATGAGTGGGCATAAACCCTTTAGCTATAAGGCCTCTGGAGACCTTTCTCTACTAAAACTAGGAAATAACACAGTGAAGCTGGGATGGGTATAACCACCCACCTTGACTTCCTCTCCGGGGACAGGCTCTGTCTTTTTCCTGCACATAGAACTTTTTCAAATTATGCTAAACTTATCTTGATTATTTGGGCATCTGGACAGAATAACCTCTTACTGCTATGATTGCCAGTCTCCCCAAGATGGAAGGCTGTGTAAGGTAAAGTCCAGAGATACAGAATACTCTTGCTTTCAGGGACTGCTTTGTTGAAGGCAACAAACTACATGAAGGAGAAGTTAAAGCTGAAATGCAGCTAACCTTTCTGTGTTCAAATATTGAACATCCATTGTCTCTTCATGTCTGATTGATGAGGGACACCTGATCATAAGCCGCTTCTTCAAAACAAAGATCTTACCTCCAGTCCTCAGCATCTTGCATTCCTATAACAGCTCTTGGAACTGATGGAAACCATGGTTGAAACTATGCTCTGATTAGCTACACTGTGTTACTGCTTCACATCTGGAATGAGACTGGGAAGGTCTCCTCTCCTAGAGGCAACAAGGAGCATCAAGCTCCTCCAGAGGATGTCAGATGTGAGGTGAGCTAAAATGTTCTCTGGATATGTTTCTCCATGACCTGAATGAATTTGGGTGTCAAGACTTCCACATAAAAATTGCATTTTGATATCAAAACTCAGGAAGAATAAATTCTATCCTAAGAATCTCCTCCCTGTCCCCTTACTGCACACACATGAACAGACTGCCTAAGCTTGTCTGAGAATTTGATGCATCTCATTGGGGCATTCCTCTCTGTAGCAACCGGCAAAGATTATTCCTCACCCTGAGCATGATCCCAGTTGGCTTGCAAAGGGATTGATTCAGGGTTGGCTATGCCACTAAAGACACAGAAGGAGCTTTGATGCAAGCATCCAAAATTCTAGCAAGGGTCTTACCCCATCACCACCAGCATCTCCCATCCCTGGCCCTGCCAACACTAGGCATGCTCGTAAGAAAATTGGGGTTGCAGCTGCACAACTGCAACTAACAAGTTTTTTCCTGCTTCTTGCATTCTTCACATTATGCATGGGGAATTGCTAGGGATACACATCCCAGGACTGCAGATCTCATTCTCAGCTGAAGAGAAGCCTCACTGGCTTGCCAAGGTACCCTGGGGCCATGATTCTGCCGTGAAGATGAATGCAGCAGATTTATACATGAATCAAGTGCTGCTGCAGGATCAAGGCAAGTTGGCAGTTTCACCTTTAGTCCACTTAGTCAGTTTTGGCATTTGAGCTGACACTAAGCTTAAAAAACCCCTCTCCTTTAAGCATATCTAAAATGGTATTTCTAAATATTGGAGTATTACCCTACAACTAGACATTTCAGCATACTAGCCAACCCTCCAAGATAGACAGTGCTAAAACTCATGTCATCCTGTAATTTGCCTGTTTGTATTTGCAATTTTTGGTTGTTTTTCCCTTTGCTGCTTTGGACACAATACATAATTACAACAGCAGTCATCTTGAAGGAGGGTTGGCTGCAGATTTCTTTTTTTCTCTTTTAAAATCAGTTCTGGGTTGTTTGTTTTTTTTTTGTTTTTTTTTTTTTTTTTTTTTGTTATTCTGGTGGATGTCACTTTGGCAAAGGACTTTCTGGTTACCCAGAAACATTCAGCTGAGAAACAGCAGTGGGAAACAGGAGAAGTGTGAATCAGCAAAGAATCACTCAACCAGAAGATATTGGCAGACCAATGAAACTGACTGGAAGGAGTTTATAAGGCTTAAACAGCTTTCGTACTACTAATAAACCTCCTCTTATAGGCATTAACTGGACCAGGATATTAGGCTGCTAATTAAGCAAGTAAATGACAACAAGCACATTATTGCCAGTTATCAGCACCTGCACAGGTATTCAGGAAAACATTTCTAGCAGCAGAAGCATACCCCACACAATGTGGTGCAATATTAAACTCTCCTGCACATCAGAAATTGCCTTATTGAGTTACAAAGGTGCACAACGCCACAGCAAGTGACGGAGAGTCAGACCCATCCTCTGTGCAACTTAAATCCATGCGTTTTCCCTCTTTACTCATTTTATTCTTCATCGCTGGAGAAGTCTGATGAGACAGCTTGAATCACTTTTCTCAGGGACTTCTCCCCGGTACTTCCAAGAAGTTTTAAAGACAGAGAAGAAAGCCTGGAAGGGGCAATCCCGCTGGGATATAGGGAGGGGTACACGTCACCTGATTGATCTGTCAGAAAGTTAGGTGGCAATTCCACGCTAGCTATGTAGATTCACTAGCTAGTGAATTAAGTGTGAATCCAATTCTGTTGGACACCAATCTTGATGAAAGGTTATAAAGACCCCCCAAATAAATATCTTAATGTAGACAGCTAACTTCCAGATGGCTACAGTTAAAAGAAATACATCTTTCTCAGTATGCCTACTTATAACAGACAAGTCCTCTCTCCCTAGACTTTAAAGCGAGGATAGACTTTTGACTGCTTCAGACACTACCAATTTTCTTTTTCAGTTAATTTTTCTCAGTCTTTGGGATAGACAGGGAGTCTTCACTGGAGAATCTTTGGTTTGAAAATGCTATTTTTTTATGCTGGAAAGCCTTTCTGAGGAAGAAAGCTTTGCATGGTTTCATACCATGATAGCCTGTATTCCCTGACCTTCACCTGGAAGTTTGTTCAGGACCCAGGAAGGAAAGGGAGCAGGAGATATATTATGGCCTGAAATCCCTGGGGTTTCCTTGACCTGGAATGCTGTGTCCTTGCTTTTACATACCTTGCTCGAGGTGTTGCCACCCACAAACACAGACCCTGCTCCGGATAGAGTGCCAGCACACCAAAACAAAAATTTGGGGAACCTGGAAAACTTTGCAGGTCTGCATAGAAGTTAACTGGTACAAGACAACAATGAGCCTGAGACTACATTCCCCTTGAAAGGATGTCAGTGTGCTTGTTTTTTTCACCTATATGCCAAACAGACACCAAAATGGAAGTACCCTACTAATGGAATTACGAGCCACAATTAGCACCATTTCCATTTGCCCTAAATAGCCAGTGATTTCACTGTGCCCTAAATAGCCACCAATCTACCTCTCCTTAATGTTAATGAAGCAGAGTAGTGCGCACACACATGAGTATTTCTAATTCAGAGGATCCAAGGGAGCCTGCATGCATCATTAACATAGAGAGCTTCATTATCAGAGGAAAGAGCCTTCCCCTGAACTTCCCCTGGCTTTATTTGAAAGAAACTAGGAGGCAATGGTCTTAATGCAAAATTAACCCTCACTTTAAACTGCTGGAAGCCTTTACAAAGTGTAAGGGGGAAAAAAAGGATGACTCATTGAAAAGGCTGTATTTTTATATTGAAGCAGGTTTCAATTAAGGAGCAATTTGCTTTAGAAATATGGCAGGATTACTGAATAGGACTTTACAGTCTGAGCCACAATTTACCAATTGTGATTGTATAAACTGTTATGTAATTTAGCTCAAGTGCATTGTGCAGAACTGCTCAACATAGATGGGCCACAAAGGATTTGTTAAACCAATCAACAACATCAAGTAGAACAAATATTAACTCTCCTGTTTATGTTTACCATCAACTTACTTATCCTAAGGGTCCATATCTTTGTGTATGAAGGCAGACACTGTGTTTAGCTCTAAATGCTTTCTGTCTGATACAGTTGTGTAATAATCCATTATGATTATCCCTCTCCAAAACAGGAAACAATAT